GAAAAGGATTGGAACAAGAGGAGAAAAGGGTAAATAGTGAGAGAAAGGATAGCAGTGGAAGAGAAAGAGGAGGATAAATATGTAAAGATAGAGTGATTGAGGAGAAGAAAGAGGAGGGGAATGAGGACAAAAAGGTTAAGTTAGGAGAGAGGATGAGATAATAAAGAGGAAAAGAAAGGGGAGACAAGGATGAATGATGAGGGAAGAGGGGAGGAGAACTTAAGGATGAGGGTAGAAGAAAAGGGATGAAAGAGGAGGAGGAGGAAGATGAGAGGAAAAGTGAGAGACCATAAGCGGTACAGCATGAGGAGAAGAAGAGGAGATAGGGATAAATGATGACGAGAGGAAGAAAAAGAGAAGAATGAGGACACAATAGGAAACCAGGGTAAAGGGATGGATAGAGGGACAAGAAAGAAAAGATAAAGTAAGGAGGGGGAGGAGTCAAATAAAAGTAGGATGAATGATGAAAAAAGGTGGGGATAAGAGGAGTTAAAAAGAAAGGAGAAGATGAAGTTGAAAACTATATTGTGTTAATTCCCACAGATAAGGGATCATTTTGATGTTGTTTCTCGTTTATTTCAATCCTAGATCATAATTATTTAACAGATGTCAATCACTTTTACCACACAAACAGAAGTTTTTTTTTTCTTTACACAGTTTTTTTATTAAATCCAGGACCACCTCTTCTTTTTAGACTCTGCGGACTTAACCACAGAGCTCTTTGTGATGATCCAGGCTTTTACCTTTTCAATCTACACTACATGTAGATATCCTCTATAAAGGCAGGATAAAGACCAATATTCAGAGTTTGATGAAAGAAGAAAACTTGATGAGTTTTCACTTAAAAGCAGGCTGAAATTATGGTAATTACATGGGTGCAGTATTTAGCTGACTTCATTCAGCTTCAGAAGTCTGTCCCTCTGATGGGAGATAACTCTTGACTTCAGAGAACTGAACTTGCTCTTTTTTATCTCCTGCAGCTCTATGAAAGCATAATACTCCTGTCATGGTTTATGAATCCTTTATTTAAACTTTGGATAGAGGAAGTCTGCTCTACAGGCTGTTCTGTGGTTGTCCCTGACATTTGTTGATGTTCACTGATGCATTTGAGATTGTGTTGGAACTTTCAGTTTCCAACTATCAACAATGAGCTGATGAGTAGCAGCATGACATTGACTTCATCCTTTTCCACGATGTCAATGTTTACTTATATTTTTTTTTCCCTGTTTATCTTGTCGACAAGATTGACGAGATGAAAACACTGAAGGTCATGTTTGTTTTTTAAATCTGTACTTGATCTTAACCTGTGTGTGAATACAAATGCTGATGTATCCCTGTGTGATACCAACCCCAATTCATAGAAGGTTGGGATGTTGTGTGACACAAATGTGAGCAAAAACAAAAAAAACAATGATCTGCAAATCCTTTTCAACCTATGTTCAATTAATTACACTACAAAGACAAGATTTGATATTTAAACTGATAAATATAATTTTATTTTGCAAATATTTATCCATTTTTAATTTGATTCCTGCAACATGTTCCGAAAAAGCTTAGACAGGGTCAACAAAAGACTAAAAAAACAGAGATATACTCCAAGCACACCTGTTGAATGAACAGGTTTATTGGAAACCGCTGAGTGTCATAACCCTCTGGAGTCTAGGGTATAATTGGCTGCTTTGACTACTTTGAACTTTACCTTTATATCTTCCCTTAAAAACTGTTTACCTTGCCTTGCTTGGTATCATTTTTTAGCACAACCTCACCTGTGAGAATTTATAGTTATTATATCATTTTGACATACTGTATTGACACAGAGGACCTAAATTCACACATAAAACACAAAATACGAGTGGAAAAAAGTAACATTTTTTACTGTGAAAACCACAAATATGTTTAACAGACCATTATCATAACTGTAAATGCAAATATTAATTGTAAACTTAAAAACATATGTAAAATTTTAACAAAGTTATTTACTTCTATTTACATTAAAATGCAGGCAATGCCTCAGGCTATTTTTTGTGAATATTTCTGCTTTTGTTTGTTTTGCCTGCATCTGTGGCTGTGATGATGGGCACAGGATGTGATCTGTGCAGCAACACAGTCCAAACCATTTTCATAACCCTGAATACAAATATAAATGTGAAACTAAAGTGCAGCAACACAGTCCAAACCATTTTCACAACTTTGAATGCAAATATGAATTGAAAACTTTAAGACATATATGCAATTTTTAAAAATGACAGTAATTTGCCTCTATTTACATTAAATGCAGGCAATACTTCAGGCTTTTTTTTGTACAACTATTAACCCTTTGATGCGCAACATGGGTCAAAAAAGACCCGGCTGAGTTTAAATTTTATATATCTTCTCAAAAAATTAATTCCATCAGTCGGTCCTCAAGGAATTCCTCAATTAACTTGTTTTTGACGACCCTACATCCTTATGTTAATTTTTCTTTTTTTACTTTTAGAATAAAAACCGTTTTTGTATCACTACCCCTCTAATGCACAACATGGGTCTAAAATGACCCGTATCCATTTTCAATGTTATTTCATGTATGGCTGAGTGTTTCTATGGTATATCTTTGAAATAAATTAATTTTATCATTCACTATTCCAAGTATGCAGTAAAGATCTTGTTTTAGTTGAGCACAAATAATCATTTTTATTTTTCCTTTCTTACGTTATGAGGAAGCACAGATTTTGTATTTCTACATCAAGTTTACATACATGGGTCAGAAACAACCCACGTACAGTGACTGTAGCATTTAGCATGAAAAGACCGTCTAATACATGTAAGTATGGTTTTTCAATTGTTCTGACATTATCTTAGAAATTATTGGATGACAATTGTGAAATATAATTGTACATAGATTTGATTTGATTAGGTTTAGGTTACCTTGAGAGTGAGGACATTACATGTTGGAAAGTTACACAGTTACAGGTAAAACAGCTAGCGTTATTTCAGCTAGCTATAATCAGACGCATGTGTATGTGACAAAATGACAAATAAACATGTTGCTGATACAAAATACAAAAGTGTTTGGCCCATAGACTGTATAAAGAATGGACAGCGTCTGCCTCCTTGCTTGGTGAAGCCGAGAACAGCACCCCCTGTTTAGAGGCTGCAGTACAGGTCATAAATCCCGCCTCCGCCAGCAAACCTTATGGAGCTGTGGACAAACTTTAGAAATTTATTACACAGAACATAAATCCCCCCCCCCGCTTGTGATGTTGACATGTAGTTATTGAAAGACTGGTTTTTGCTCAAGTCCTCTTTTTTCTGTACAGCTCTGTTTTTAAAAGTTATTAGGGGGTTCATGTTTTCTATGATTGACACCTGCCATAGACTGTATATAGAATGGACGCCGTCTGCCTCCTCGCTGGGTGAAGCCACTCCGAGAACAGCACCCTCTGTTGATTGGCTGCAGTATAGGTCATAAATCCCGCCTCCGCCAGCAAAGATTATGGAGCTGTAGACAAACTTAAAAATTTTATTACACAGAACATAAATTTTTATCCCTCCTGATTGTGATGTTGACATGTAGTTATTGTCAGACTAGTTTGTGCTCAAGTCCTCTTTTTTTCTGTGAAGCTCCATTTTTAAAAGTTATTAGGGGTTCATGTTTGCTATGATTGACACCTGATACAGCCTATGGGCGTTCAGGGATTGAGTAGCTCTCCCAGGGGATATGCTGTTTGAGCCGAGTGTCATCACAGTGACTCTCTTCAACTGTGCGGCCAAATGCGCACATTGCTACTGCGCAGCGCTGGTTTCAGGAAATGAAGAAAAATCCTGGAAATATCGAGAGCTATTTGGCTTCAAATCTGTATACAGGCAGTAGGCGGAACAAAGTTGTCCATAGTATATACAGTCTATGGATACAGCCTATGGGCGTTCAGGGACTGCGTAGCTCTCCCGGGGGGAAACGCTGTTTGAGCCGAGCGTCATCACAGTGACTCTCAGCGACTGCGCGGCCAAATGCACGCATCGCAACTGCGCAGCTCTGGTTTCAGAAATGTAGAAAAGTCCCGGAAATACCGAGAGCTTTTTGGCTCCAAATCCGTATATAGGCTGTAGGCGGAACCAAGTTGTCCATGGTATATACAGTCTATGGTTTGGCCCCACTCACTGCTAATTTCATTACTTCATTACAAATTATTATTATAGTGTTAGGTAATTCAATATTAAATCACACTTGGATGAATGGGTCGTTTTTGACCCATGTGTGTAAACTTGATGTAATAATATAGAAACTATATTATTTCATAAAGTATGAAAAGAAAAATAGAAATAATGATCAGTGGTGATCAAAAACAAGATATTTAAAGAATACTTGGAATATTCAATCAGAAAATAAACTGATTTCAAAAGATAGAACAAAGAAAAACTCAGCCAGCATGAAATACCATTGGAAATGAATGCGGGTCTTTTTAGACCCATGTTGCGCATTAGAGGGGGTGTGGCTATGTTGTGCATCAAAGGGTTAACAAAAAAGCTTATGATGTCATAAAGGGCAAAAAAACAGTTCCTGTCCACCAAGACACAAAGGGGCACACCACAGGCCATACACATCCACGGTGTGTCATTCCTCTTTTTGTCTACTTGGAGGCAGCGCTGCCACCTTTTTCTGCCTTTGTTTAATTCACCTGCCTCTGTGGCTGTAATGATGGGCACAGGAACGTGATCTGCCCTCCTGCTTTGTTTAATTCACCTGCCTCTGTGGCTGTAATGATGGGCACAGGAACGTGATCTGCCCTCCTGCTCTGGGGAACTCCTGGGCTGTGTCTGAAATGGCATACTACTCGTACTACTCATACTAACCCCGCCTCTGAATTGAGTAGGCAGTGCGTTCACACTGTACAGTATGCAAATTTTGTGTATACGAGAAATGCCCGGATGTAAACTCAATCGTTTTCAATTTCTGAGTATGGAGTGGAGCTTGCTTCACATACTGCATTGCAGACTTCTGACGTGAGAAGACGAGATACAAAATGGAGACAGCCAGCAGCAGCTTCCAGCGCCAGCAACAAAGCGCTTATAAATGTTAGTTATTTACCTTTAAATTGTGGCACATAACCGCGCAGATAATAGTTGTATTGACGTGTGAGTTTATGCGCTGCTCAACGACCAGTCAGCCTACCATATGGTTAGCACATTATAAATACTGCTGTGTTTTCCTTCAGGGACAGATGAGGACACCAAGCGGCTAATCCGGTGGTGGGGACGGAACAAGGCCCTGTTCACGGGCAAAAGGAATACCGCCATAAAAGTTTTTGAGTAAGAAATTTGTGTTCATGCACTCAACACAAACATTGGCCAGGTCGGCCTCTAGCTTTGTTGTTATCAGAGCAGCATTCTACGAGCTGCAAACGCCCCCCACCACTCGACAGAAAATAATACGAGAGTTACTATGGGTTGATTACAAGATGGGGAAAAAAGCCACTGCCTAACACAGAAATAATATGAATATGGAGAACTTGAGGACACATTATGGTAACTGTATGTCAAAGGTAAATGTGAACATTGTTCTGACAGTGGCTTGTAGGCACTTGCCGCGTTCATATGCCCTTTTGATTGCCCCTTGTTCGTCATCTTGTTTAGGGCTCTCATCAAGGAGCATGGGCTGGAGGGCCAGGTGGAGCCAGGTTTTACAAAAAAAAAAAAAAAAAAAAACGGGAAAACCTCAAACAGAAATATAAGGTAGGTGGAGGTATGACAAACACTTCAGTATTAAGGTTTGGCACCAATATAGTGAATGCTTATTTTTACGATAAAATCTGATTATGTCAGAGCTCAAACAGTCAGTGTGAAAGGGACCCATGTTATCAGATTATCTTTGTGTGTGTGTCATTTGCCAGGAAATCAAGGCACCATCAACAGGGGTCAGCACAGAGGGAGGAGAGGCCACTGCTGCAAACTTGAAAAAGTTTAACATCATGGATGAGGTGATGAGGGACCGTCCCACCATATCACCGCTCAACCTCATCACCTCATCCATGACACCAGCAGCAGTGGCCTCTCCTCCAAATCCAAATTCTGAGTCTCCTCCTGTGAGAGGGAGGAGAACAAATGAATCAAGGAGCAGAGAGTGGCTCCAGGAATGGATGAAAGACTTTGAGGAGAGGGAGGATGAAAGGTTGCAGCAAACAGAGGAACGGGAACGTCGGGCAGAGGAGAGAGAGAGGCAGGAAAAGAGAGAGATGGAGGAAAGATGGGCAAGAAGAGAGCGAGAGTGGAGAAGAAAGAAAGAAGGAATGCAGACAGAAGAGAGCAGGAGAGGAGAAAGTGGATGGATAGAAGAGCAATGGAAGAAAGGAAAGGGAGAAGGAGAGTAGAGCAAGAGAAGAAAGATGGATGGAGATGATTGATCTCAAATCATCTTTGAGTATTCAGTATGCAGTATGTACTGATTCAGTAGGTAAGTAGACAGTTGGCAGTATGCCATTTTGGACACAGCCCTGTTTTGTCCATGCCACAAAGTAGACACCCAAGCTCCACCATGAAGTCTTTGTGTGTCATGGGCTGTACCTGCTTAGTTTTGACCATCTCACAGTGCATGATATAGGCGTTTGTTGTGGCAATGTCCAAGAAGTGCAGCAACACAGTCCTGTACCAGCGAGCAGTTTTTCTGTGGGTGGAGTCGTACTGAATGAGCTGGTCTGACAGATCGTCTCCACCCATATTTTTGTTATAGGCTTTAATTGGTGTGGGAATAGGGATGTCTCTCACAGCCCAGTATCCATCTCCACCCTTCACTCTTCTCTGCACTGTCTCACCTGAAAATGCAGGATGGATGGTGGAGCACAATGACACCTCCCATGTGTCCATCCACTTCACAAAAAACAGTGAGCCCTCTCTGATCCATCTCACTGATCGTCTTTCACTTTTTTTGGTGAGAGGATTTTCCCTCCTTTTAGGGCATCCTTCCCTGGTCTCCCTGTAAGGTGCCACATGCTCCAAACTTCATCCTGGCCAGGTCCATGAACAGTGTAGGGCTGGTGTAAAAATTGTCCATAAAAATATGGTACCCAGTGCCAAGATAGGATGGTTGAATGAGGTCCGTGACAACATCATAAGACAGCCCAGGCTTGCAGTTTGAGTCTTTCCTTTATAAATGCTGAAGCTGATGGTGTAGCCACTGCTTGACTCAGCCAAGACAAAAAAATGTCATCCCCCATTTAGTAGGCTTGTCCTTCATGTATTGAGTCATGCCAGTTTTTGCCTTGGTTGCCACCATCCTTTCATCCACTGCAGCTCCCTCCTCGGGTGGTAATAAGCCTGGCAGGCATTGAGGATGTCATCATAGAGAGGTCTGACTCTAAGCAGGCTGTTTGTCATTCTTTACATCTTCTAAGGTGGTTATTTCATGTGTGTCCGTGTTGCTGCAGATAGTTCTGACTGTCAGTGGCAAAAAAACAAAAGAAAAAGGTCTTTTGGACTCTGGGGGGAAAGTGTCTCTACCTGGACCCCTGGTGGTCTCTGAGGCTGGAACCAGCTCTCGAGACCAAGACCGATCTTGAGTACCACAACACTACTGTATGGTAACCGTTAGCTTACCTGTCTTTATGCTTCCTCTCAAGGTGACGGAAAAAGTTTGAAGTCGTACCAGCTGTTTCTGTGAGTTGTGCACTGCAGAATTTGCACACTGCCGAATGTTTTCGCTTGCATGTCATTTCACTAATAAACTCCTTGTGGTTTAGGAAACCAACCTCTCTCTGTATGGAGGGGGTGTGTCAATCACTCAGACTGTGTGACATTGGGCAGGTAACTTAGCAGCTGCAGCTGGGGGAGAATCATTACTACCAATGATGTGAAGTTATTAGCTCAACTGGTCTCGTTCAAAATCTCGAGTCCGAGACCGAGACAAGACAGGGTAAAAATGCCTTCGAATCCGAGACGACACCAAGACCCTCAAAAAATGGTCTCGAGACCAAGACCGATTTCTAGTACTACAACACTAGTCATAAGGTCAAGTTCAAAGCTAACAGCTATGATGGTATGGGGGTGTGTTAGTGCTTATGGGTAACTGTCACACCTGTTAGTGCTCCATTGATGCTAGAAGGTTCACACAGGTTTAGGCGCAACATATGCAACACCTAAGCCAAGTATTTTTTAGGGATGTTACAACACGCGGACACATTCTGCAACAGCATGGCTTCATATTAAAGAGTTCAGGTACTGGACTGGCCTGATGGCAGATTATAAAGCACAAAATACCACAATGCAGACCCCAGACTGTTGAGACACTGAAGCTTCAACAATCGGTGCCCTCAGTTCCTAAACACTTGTTGAGCGTTGTTACAGCCCAGTTATGGATAAATGGTCACTTTTCTTTGAATAAACTTAAACTAAACTATATAACAGGCTAAGAAACCCTCAATGAACTTACTGTTGGTGATTTTGTAAAAAAATAATAATTAATTAATAAAAGGAAATAACTTAACAGCCTCCACAATTCAAACCTTGAAATGTTGAGGTGACCAGCTGAGCAAAAACTAAAATTAATGTTTGGTACGTGTTTATAATACTGTTTTAATTTGCTCTCTCGTTTATTTATATATTTTTTGTACTTTGACAAAAACTGACAGCACAGTGAACAATAAGTCTTTGTTATCTTTTCTGCAGCAAATATTGACAGCGGGTGATATGCGTGACTGTAAAAAGAAAGAAAGGTGAGACTTTTTGTGAAAACACACTTCTTACACATGCACAAGACAGAATCAGCTAAGACATTTAAGGTTTCTCTTTATTCCCCAAAACTAACATAAACAGGAAACTCCTCACAGGAATCAAAACTGTTAAATGGTCCAAATAAGACCTCTCCACTCTGAAACTTAGATTTTCTTTCACAACTGGCAGCTGAATTTTCTAAAACATGGCTCGCACACTTTTATAAAGGATTGCAATTGTTTTGCACAGTTTTTAATTACTTTGATATTTTTATTTTTAATTTTTTGCATTTTTTTTACCTTATTTTACAGCCTGTTATCTGAATGGAAAGCATATGTTACTCCTGTAAACCTGTAAATACACTTTCTAAAATAAATGACAGGTATCGACCACATGGCAGTTTTCCCCTTTGCCTCGGTCCATCTTGAACAGGCATGGGCCCAGAGAAGTTGCCGGTGTTTCGGGATTGTATTTATAGATGTTTCCCTTTCTACACTGGGCAGTTTTAACCTGCTTTTGTGGATGCAATGACAAACTGTTTCCGAAAGTGATTTAGAGCCCATCTGGAGATTTCCTCCTCAGGGTCATGTCTGTTTTAAACTCAGTGCTGTTTGAGGGCCTGAAGATCACAGACACCCAGTACTGGTATTTGGCCTTGTCCCTTTGTTGTAGATGTCTTTGGATTCTCAGAATATTTTCACACAACTTTTTTCTTTAATGTCAAAGATGAAATACCCACATTTTTTTGCTTTCCTGTTATAAATAACCCTGTTTGGTCTGAAGAACTTCTCCAATTCCTTCAATAGTCAAAATATGGCCGTGCTACTTTTTTAAAAAGTCTTATAGGAGTCATAACTAACTGGAATGTTTCACAGTTCTGGTATATAACTTTTTGACCCGGAACATACTATGAGGGTACAGGATTTGAACAGTATGCCTATGTGAGGGTTAAGAACTGCCAAAGCTGTAGGCTCCTGCTCACAAAGGACAGTATTACAATCTACCCCAAACCTGAAGCCATGACTGTTTACCATCTCCACAAAAATCTTGTAGGTCATCTGCAGATGGATTGGTTAAGGGGATTTTACTTCAGAACAAGAAAAAGCACAAAATCATTTTCATCAACTCACATTTAACTTCATCCCTAAAAGCTTCAAAAAACTTCTTCAAAGTTTTAGGAAACCCGAGATTCAAATTTGGCTGCGGGAAACTGATCAAAGACTAACTTTTTGATACATTCTTCACACATTCTCTTGCTATGATTCAAGGTGGCTTGAGGAGGCTGTATTACAAGGAGATGTGGATGGATGATATGACAGGAAGAAACAACAGAAAGTGACTTTTGTTCAGATGTTAACTGCTGATGAATGCAGTAAATCTAGCAAGCTTGTGTAATGATAATGCACCAGCATTATACCCTGGTCACGCAGCTATCCTAGCATGTACCTGCTAGCATTACTACTTACTTAGAATTTCGTGGCAAACCCCTTTACTTTAACATTAGTGACTGACATTTACTACATATCAACAACGCCATCATTATCATACTCAGCCTTTCCTTCTTCCTCTGAGCAGGGCTACCCACTTTATGCTGACTGTTGCATCCACTTTTTCCCCCTACTTTTGAGATTTTCCCCAAATTTTTTTTTGCTCCTGGACTCTTTTGTACCACTGTCAGAGGCGTCCCAAATGGTTTAATATTGTTAAAAAAATATATATTATATTTTTTTCAAGAAAAATGAAGCTCCACTCTCGCTTAGTGGCAGGTGGTATCAGAGGAAATTTATGCATGATTTTGTGATAATTATCCTACCTGGACTGTAAAGTGTAACCAACTGTTTGTTCCCAAAGTATTTTTTGGCTTTAAACAAACCATCCAAATCTGTTTTTAGAAATATTTTAACAGCATCGCACCTTTTTTGAATCACAGTTGTATGTGTTCTGTCAAATCTTCCGTCAGAGTTTTATATCTATTATAATTAGCACAGCTCACACTCGCACTCCTATGTTACAGCTCTGTCTTCATAAATGTGAGTACGCACTGAGTTATGCATATTCATCCGTGCGTTGCAGATTCTGGCAGCCGAGAGGAGAAAAGAAAGATGGAGAGACAGAATTAGGCCAGTGAGTGGCAGAGCTCCCCACAGCCTCTGTCAGAGTGCTGCTGACTGTCTGAGGAGGGACTGGAGGCCCCTTGGCAAATACTGACATCACCATCTCAGCTTCATAATGTCTGGCACCATGTAAATTTTACATCCGCGTCCACTTTGAAACACGTGCCAGTCTGAGCCATTACCTTCAGTTACTCATTATTAGAGGTAAAAAAAAAAAAAAAAACTGCAGTAAAACAGACAATAACAATTTTATAATAGCTGCAATTTTTTTAAACTAGAATGTTTTTGGTATTCATTAACAATTTCTGGTTTTATTCTCCTTGGATGCCATGATTGCTCTATTCACTACCTTTTTTAAAAGTTGTTGTACTTCCCGTAAAAAAAGGAAGGATGAGGGCAGTCTGCTTATAAAGAAGTCAGGCAAGAAAACTAATAAAACCATCAGAGGGATTTGAAATAAAAGTTTGGAAGGGAAACTGAGGGTTTTATTTTTGAATACAGTCCTAAATTGTTTATTGTAAACAACAATACAACCATTTTTTTGCATATCT